ACCTCACTGCTGTCCAGTCCGATTCATAGCAACCTACCATCAGGTTTCCCAAACTATACTTTTTACCACAGGTGAAACTGCAGAGTAAATGCTGATGCTGATGTTGATGATAATGATTATGATGATGATGATGATGATTATGGAGTACTGATGTTTGAAGACAGGTGCATCTGATTCAGGCCATTGTCTTATTACTAGCTGTGCATCCAAAAGCTGGGCAATGGATAAGGTTGACAGAAAAAGAATTGACACCTTTGAGCTGTGGTGTTGGAGAAGAGCATTGTATATCCCATGGACGGCCAAGAGAACAAACAGATAGGTTCTGGAGAAGATGCAGTCGGAATGCTCTTTGGAGGCAAGAATGATGATGATTCACCTCATATACTTTGGGCATGTTTCTAGAAGGGGCTATTCCTAGAAGAAGGACATGATGCTGGAAAAGGGGTGGAGGGTCAGTCAGTGAAGGAGAGGAAGATCCTCAACCAGGTGGATTGACACAATAACTGCTGCAGTGGGCTTTTATGTGTCAGGAAATGTGATGAAGGCACAGGATAGAACAGGGTTCAGATCTTTTATAGGGTCACTATGAGTCATGCGAGCCTCGATGGCACCTAACAACAATAACAGCAACAGCCACTTCAGGCTAACAGTTTAGTCCAACATATTGCATGTAATGCCACCAGGACTCCTTAGTAATTGTTAAGTACATTCAGGTTGACCATAACTCACAGCAACCTTGTAAACAACCGACCAGAGCTCTGTGCTGTCCTGCACCATCCTTGTGATCCCTGACATGCTCAAGGCCATGGAAGTTATCTCAATGAGAGGCTTCTGTCTTTATCTGATCCTCTACCTTATCAAGCATATTTCCTTTTTTCAAGAACCAGCCTTCATTTCCTACAGTCTATGAGATGGAGCTTTACCATCCTTACTTCCAGGGAGCACCCTCGTTGCACTTCATCCGAGATAGATTTGTTTTTTTTTTTTACAGATCCTAGGATATTCAGTACTCTTCACCATCACCACAATTCAAAGGCATCAGTTCTTCTTGGGTCTTCCTTATTAATTTTCAACTTACAGATACATAGGAAGCAATTGCAAGTCCCATAGTTTGGATCAGGTACACCTTAGTCTTTAATCTGATATCCTTGATCTTTAGAACTTTGGAGAGGCCCTTGACAGCAGATTTCCCAAATGCAGCACGTCTTTTCATTTCTTTACTGCTGATACCATGAATGTTGATTATCTATGTTTAATTAAATTAAGTAGTTGACAACTTCTTTACTCCATCTCTCATGCTTACTTCTTTGTTCTCTGGTGAGAACTTTTATTTTCTTCCTGTGAGATATAATTTATATTAAAGACTAGTCTTTGATCTACAATAGAATGAATTTATTTTAATGACTCGAAGGTTAATAGGCTGTGTAAATGAATTACATTTTGAGAGTCTATCTCTTTGTTGTTGTTATGTACCATTGAGTTAGAACTGACTCATAGCTGGCCCTCACATAAGTTTTCAGAGGCAGGAAATGTCACGGGAGGAAGTTGCCCTTATTTCTCCCATGGAGCAATTGGTGGATTAGAACAATTTTTCTTTGGGTTAATACCACAACTCCTTAATACTGAACCACCAGACCTCTCTCCTACCTGCTTAGTAGGTATTTGTAATGTGTTTACATTTCTATATCATACCAGATATTATCTGGGCAATAATTATATAACTCAATTATATAAACTGTGGAGTTTGTTAGATGAGAATGAGGGATAGAGAGAGAATGAAAACTAAATGGTATATATTATTTTTAGAAAGCACCCAGTTAAGTTTCCTATTATTTAAAATAGATGAACAGTGAAAAATAGGAACATGTCTGGTGATTTGAATTGGTAACAGTGGCTACCACAGTGAATTCGAGCACAGTAGTAGTTGTGCTTGAAAAGAATGGCAGGGTTGGGAGAGTGTTTCATTCCGTTGATGCATACGAGTTACTCTCAGAGGGCACTGCCTTAAAGGCACCTAACAACAATTACTGTATTTTTCTTTATAAACAGTACATTTTAACAAACAGAGGACATCTAAAAATAATATATGTTAAAGATAATTTGTAGTAGGACATTATTGCTACTATACAGTTTGAGACATATTTCCCCCGTCTATCTAGATTTAAAAGTGATTCTAAGTGATCTGTTTCAGTGAAATACGTACAATTACTTTAATCTCTGCCTTTGGTTAGATCGTAATAAGGATGTTGATTCCACTCATTTACAAAGTTTACAAATTAAAAAAAAAATAGTGGGCTTTGCTTGTTTGCTGTTCATTAGCTTGAGGATTGAGCTAGCATGAACATGTATTTTTCAGAGGTTTAGGGAAAGATAAGTAAAATAATGGCCTTTTTAAATAACTTTGCCAAAGAATTTTTACTAACCTTTATCCATTCTTGTGTGTCTTACATGATCATTCTAAAGCATGATGTTTGTCTAATACCTTTAAATAACTTGCTTTTATTTTTTCCATTTCCTTTTTTTCTTTTTTTGTATGTGTTGGGGGGCTCATCTTTGTGTGTTTTTCATCACCGGGGAACATTAATGTCTTCTCTACTCTCATGTCTTTGTTTTTGTGTATTATTCCATCTGCAGTAACCCTGGCACAGTGTAAGTACTTAACCAGTGATTTCTTTTGTAATTTCCTTCATTATATCTCTGTAAACTTTCTATTTCACTCTCAACTTTTAGTATCAACAAAAAATTTTGTTATTATCTTTCATATAAAAATTTTCAAATGTGTTAAGAAGCATATAAACATTCTTTTCATACTAAACTGCTTCAAAGGGATTGATGGGTGTGTTTGGCATATCTACAGTCTACAACGGAAAACTTGTACAAATTTTCAGGGAGATGAATACAGCAAAGTTAGATATGCAATGTGGACCTTCCTTATTTGGCATTTGAAAAACAACAATGAACTAGAAGTGTAGAATATGTTTTGAAATAAATTATTTACTTTTATAGTTAATTTTATCTTCTAACCTAGACACATTTGAAAAGAAAATAATTAAAAAATGTTTATCGTAAAATCATTAGGGTACAGAGTTTTAGAGCTCGGAAACACTAAGTGAATGTTTAAGAACACACCATATCACTTGAAATTATTCCTTAGGCTATGGTAAATGTCACAAGAGTCTAAAATCTGTTCATCTTTTACAAATATAAAATATAATGGCTTGATTCATTGCCAATATTTTGTATTTCTGTAAAACAAAGATTTTATACAGGCTAATAGAGTCTGCTCTCTAAAATTTTATGTTTCAGATGAACAGGTCAAGAGTAAACTGATTGACAATAGAAAAATACAGTGATCATAATTTTAGTAGTAGGCCAAACATAAGCTTTTCATATAATTACACAAGTTAAAGAGTTAGCTAGTTTGGAATTTTTACCTCCAAAAGTCAGTAGGTTTATTAGGCAAACTTATTTCTGTGTGTTTCTATAAATTTCCAGTTTTTAAACATTCTTATATTTTAAGAAATATTAGGAATTTTCCCCATTATGAATGAAGTTTATTTTGCTTCTAGACTCTTGAGTGTGATCATAAATTTTAATACCTATACTAATTTAGTATGTAAATATTATTGATTCTGTTCTTTGTATTTAAAGATCACTGATAGTCTTACAACTAGAATTGCTAATAATTTTCTAGTAAATATAAGAGAACACATTTAATGATTGTTACCATGGGTTAGGTACTGTGCAAAACACATTATCTATATTCTGTATTCCTCAAAATACTTTTAAGTAGATACAATTCACATTTCACAGAGGGGAAATTGAGACTTAGAGAATAGTGACCTTCCACTTACTGAGTGGAAGATGTATTGCTTAGACACTGTCTGTCCAACTCTAAAGGCATTCTCACTGACCTTCATCAAGCGATGGAATGGGTAGAAAGGTAAGACTGGGACATGTGATTGGACTCTCCCGTGTTCAAAGACCATTCCGATAGTCTAAGTATTAAAATGACAGCAGTCAGATTACATGCTGAGAGGCCTGTGATTTTCTGGCAATAAAAACGAACTTTCATGAGTTGCTACTTTCATCTCATGACATTTAGCACACTTTCTCTGCTCTTACCTTGTATGTAGTTGGCTTAGTTTAGACTCATGTTCCTTTTTATCTGTGGTATTGAATTCATATGCACCAACAGTTTGTTTTTGTCCAAGATATGAGAAGTACTCATTATATTCAGTAGATGTTGACTTAAAGTGCAAAAATAATGTATATTGTCAATTCCTTAGCATTTATACTTTGTTCTTAGAAAACTGAATGTTTCCTAACAAATCTAATTGTTTACTATATATAGTAAAGAAATATCTTTTATGTATATTATTTCATCTTCAGAACAACCCTGGTTTGTTTGTGATAGATAGCTTGCCTTGTAAATGGGGTGAACCCCCCAGAGCTCTGCGATACTGACATCTTCCCAAATCAAACATCTTAAAATAAATAAAAAAAATCATGAAACCAAGATTTAGGTTCAGGTCTTTGGAAAAATAGTTCAGTAGTTTCCAATTTTTCACAGTTTTTCTGTCATGACACCAATTCTGCATGACATCTCTGCTTTAGGAAAAGGGTTATTCAGGCACATAGAAATGAGAAACTGCAGAGATTAACCCTACTGCCCTGTTTTAAAAATTGTCTTTAAAATTTTTAACTTAATCTCTTGAGCCACTCTTGGTTTTTAGTTATAAGGAAGACAGATGATAATTTACTTTTGTGAAAACCAATCTACTTCAGTACCATATTAATATTTAACGGTGGTTGCAGTTTTCAGATGTGTGTTTTATCTGGCATAAGATGAATACAAATAAAATAAAATAGTTTGATTGAGTTTTATTAACTATTACAGACTTTTCCTTTTCTACTTATTTGTTTTCTTCTTATCCTCTTTCTTTCCATTTCTTCATGTTGGAACTATTTCTTCTGCTGCCTTCTTCTGTCATTAAAAGGAAAATACCACCTAAACGGTAATCTCTCTGTTAAATATAGTCTTAAACTATTACTTTTTAATTAACATTGTTGTTATTAGTTGCTTTAGAGTCAGTTCTGAGTGATGATGACCCACGTGTCCAGAGAAAAACTAAATTCAGTAGAGTTTTTAAGACTCTGATCTTTCCGAAGCAAATCACCAAACTCCTCTTTTGAGATATCTGTGTATATTTGAACTGACAAATTTTCAGCTAGTAGCTTAGTGCTTAACGACACAATGAGTAGTTGTTGGTTTTTTAAAATTATTATTTTCCATTTACAAAAAAAACCCCATACAACAAAACCTATTCCACTCTACTTTAAATTGTGTTTCAAAAGAGAAATTTGCATAGAAGCAAACTCAGAAAGACATAGAAAAGAAACATTGAGCCCTGTGGTTTCATCCCTACCTGTGCTTACCCCTTTGCTCCCAACCTCCCTTGAGTTCCTCTATATGTTTTACTAGTTATCTTTCTATTTTTACAATAATGTTCTTACGCAGTATTTGTCCTTTTGAGACTGGAACGTGATGTATATGAACTTTGTAAGCAAACCAATTTTTAAAAAGTAAAATAGTATGTATACCAATGGTTATGTGAAACATAATATTAATGAATGATAAAACACAATGTATATAAATGAAATATAATGTAAAGGAATTATTATATGAAAACAAAAAAAGAAAGGAATATTGAGATTACTTATTTAAATTTTAAATAACTGTATGCAAGATATTTTATCCTATGCATAGAGTTTTGCCAATTTAATTTCTTTTCCCTTCTAATACCTAGCCCACCAAGAAAACACATTGTGGAGCGCAATACAGAGTTTTATCACGTACCTACTCACAGTGATGCCAGCAAGAAGAGACTGATGGAAGATACTGAAGACTGGCGTCCAAGGACTGGAACCACTCAGTCTCGCTCTTTCCGAATCTTGGCCCAGATCACCGGGACTGAACATCGTAAGTAAAATCCTAGACATCCTGGTAGGTGAATGTCCTTTGCTATAGAAAGTAACATGTTGAGTGACTCACAATTACTGTAAAACAACCGTGAAGCTATTTACTTAAAAATGATGTCCGATGTTAGTATCGTAAATATTGTTCAGCTAGAATTACATGCAAAGTATAAGAATCGTGATGATATATAGTCAATAGCAACATAATATGAAGGTTTTTCTTAATAATTTTATGAAGTGGTGATTGTTGGTATTGCTTAGTTAGGAGCCGTTGTGGCATGGTGTTTAAAAACTTGGCAGTTACCACAAAGTTGGTCCTTTGAATTCAGCAACCATTCTTATTGTCTGTTTCTGTAAATGTGTACGGGGGCAGGGGGGGGCGGGGAGGGTGTCACGACACAGTTTACTTAAGGTTACTATGAGTCAGGATTCAAATCAGCGACAATGTGTTTGGTTTGGATTTTTTTAAGTACAAGTAGCTACTTAATGTGATTTTGAGTTTAAAGAATAGCAAAGTAATGTCAAGTATTGCTTACTCTTTTTTTTCAGTGAAAGAGTCTGAAAATGATAATACAAAGAAGGCAAAGTAAGTTCTTCCTGTCTTTGTTAATTGAATGTTTTCCTTTCATGAATGGCCTTTGTGGTTTTTCAAGTTTTCAGTGTCATGGTATGGCATTTTGTCTTTGCAATTAGAAGCTAAGCATTTAACTTTGGTGCCTTTTGAGTGACTTAAGGATTTTTAAATTAGTAAGTACTTTTCTAGATTTTATGTCTAAGGCTTACTCTTGCGTTCTTAATAAGATGTGATCAGAAAACTCTGTTTTGGAATGCTTTGCTAACAGATTTCTGAGAATGAGTCCATGTGTCTTCTGATAGTCACTTTATCTTGGGCATAAAATTCTGAATTTCCTTGATGGCCCCTGAAATGAATCTCTTATTTCTAAAGTATTATATACTCTTCAAATATGTGTGCTGCTTAGTGAGCTGTGTGAAATTGAGCTTTTAAAGGGCATGTTCTCTGCATGATGAATTAAGTGTAGAAACCTTTTCTTTCTCTTCTTATGACTTCTGTCACTCTCTTTTGTTTTTATTTCCGCAGGGAAAAGATACCCCTTCACGTCTTTAGTCCTAAATACACAAAATTACGTGACTGGCACCATGAAGTTTCAGCACGTGCTCTTAACGTACAGTGATTTATGAACCTTGCCCCCCAGCAGCCAGCACATACCTTTTCATTCACATTTTCATTTTCCAACTTCATAGTAAAATCTGTATTACATTTGCCTTGTGAAAAAAAAATAGAATCTTTTCTATACTTTTCTAATGATTTCCTACTATTATAACAACTATGAAATGAACATGTTTTATGCTAGTCAGTAGCTCATACAAAAAAACATTAAAGAATGAAATATATTTAGTGGATTTATATATTTCTGTTGTTATTAGCGTAGTAGCCTTGGAAAAGGAATTCTTTTCTTGAGTTGAATTTGTTTACGTGTTACGTTGTCTGGAACAAGGTGGATGAGCAAGTAACATACTTTGTAAATTTGAAAAATACTTCGTATTCTAACAGTTTCCAAGATTACTTTGAAATTATGACAGTCTTTTGGGTTGTAAATTATTCTATATATGAGGAGGCAGGATTAAAGAGCAAAGACTTTTATTAGAGTTTTGTAGATATGGTGCCTTTCAAAGTAGGTAGTATTGATGATAGCTATATGAAGCAGAGATTTGGTGACTACAATCGAAGAGGAGAGAATGTTTCCCCTATATGCAAAGGGGAGATACAGTGTTATTTTGGTTTGCTTGTGTTCAGAATCCTATTTTCTACCAAGAAATATTTCCAAGCTGGTAAATGTTTGTAGATAAGGACACTGTAAGAAATAAGGAGTAAAATTCAGAAAAAAAAGTAACTTTTTTGTTTTAAAACCAGAGGATGTGAACATGAATTGCAATATGAATTATTCTTGAGATGCCAGAGAAATATTTAACTTAGTGTTACAAATACATTGTGTGTTGCTGCTATTCCTAGGAAGTTATATTTTTGACAATATGTAGATACTAAAGAGTTCACAAAAAATTTCTTGTAATATAATATATAACATATTTAAGCTCAGTTAACTACAAGCAAACAAATGCATTTTAAAGTTTGAAAAATATTGCAATAAAGTTGCCTTTAACATAGAGTTGTACTTGTTCTGTTTTATTGAGGCTAGTAACAATATCTTAAGACATGATCACTAATGAAATAAGTAATTCTCCATTTAGAATAAATAATATTCCGTTTTGAAACCACGTTAAAAATATTTGTTGTGACATATGTGGCCAAAGAAAATTACAAAAGCTAACATTAGTTTGTTTGATTTTTCTGAATTGCTACATTATTTAGTACAACTCAGTGTGAATGACACATAAGGTCAGTTAGACTATGGCATAGTCTTGAATTATTTATGTGAAATGATTACTGATCTTACCTGCATCAACATCCAGTTTTACTTTTCCAGATTTCACATTAATGTCACAATAGGAGGCTATGACAACTTCCTGAGACATTAGAAAACTTAATGTTAATTTCATTTAGTGATTGACTGGTTACCTTTAACATTCTACCTGACCACTATATTTAAAAAAAAAATTGTTAAACTTATCTATGCTCATTTACACTACATAATACTGAAGTACTTTTCTTTGATTGCATCAGTTCTTTTTAAATACTAAATATCTTACCTGCTTTTATTTTTGCAATCCTGACATCAATCTCAATTATTGCTGTGTCTCTGGCCTGTAAGAAAATCTACTTTCTTAGGTCAAGCTGTCCTATTATTTCAAAAGAATATGTCTAAGAGAAGATCCAGACAGTCTCATAAAAAAATTAATAAATTATATAGTTGGCATAGACACTGCAGTTTCTTCAAAAATAACTAGTTGAGAGAAAGAACCACTTGAGAGAGTTATAGATAAATAAGAATTACTTCCAAATACAGACAGTGGTGATAAGCTGTGCTACGATCTCACCAAAGGCGTACAGTTCGAATGCACTCTCTGCTACGAGGGAGAGGGATGAGCAGTCTCTTCCCACTCAGTTTACTCCCTCTGAAAATCTCCTTGAAGCTCAGCTACAAGTCGGTTCTGATTTGACAGCACACAACAACTATTATAGATAGAGAACCTGAATAACAGTGTTGGCATGTGCATCAAGTAAATTATGACTTAGACAATTCTCTGAACAGATCTGAACCTGGACTTATCCCAAGCCATCCCTACTATCTCCAACATGCTCAGGCCCATTCTTAAAGTCACAGTGTCAGTCCGTTTAGTTGAAATTCATCCTTCTTTTGTCTGACCTTCCATGTTCTCTAGCATGCTGTCTTTGTTACTCATATAATTTGATAGGTGTAATTTAGAAAAAAATTGTTAATATGCTGCCTAATTATATTTTTAAAGTGTCATCACAGAAATCAGAGACTTAGATACAGGGAAAGCACCATATTTGAGCATTAGGGTGAAACATTCTTTGGGATCGCAAAGGACATTCCATTTGACCCTGTCAAGATTAGAATTCCTGAACTCAGTGAAACTCTTGAGACATCTTATAATTTTGGCTTAAAAGTTAGCCAAAAGTTATAAAAACTTCTTACAAAAATATTATTGTAATTCCAGTAACCTAATTTATAGCTTGTTTTTGTTTGTCTCTCTTTGCAGACTTTATCATCAGCTTGTTTTTAATGTGAAGTTGGGAAATTACTCTTATGAATTTTTAGCGTTTTTATCTTGTAATGTTTTCTTAGTCAGAATATCTCCCATACAATCAAGTGTATATTTGTGAGAACAGAAATATTCCAATCTTGTATATGTGAAAACTCAAGGACCTTTGGTGGCATAGTGTGCCCCAGGTCAGACTGTTAACAGAAAGGGCTGTGGTTCAAAAAGCCTTACGACAGGAGAAGAATAAGTCAGTCTCCTCTCAAAAAGCAGACTGTCAGTGCAAGGTAGCCATGAGTCAGAGTTAACTTGGAGGCAATGTGGTTGTGGGTTAAGAGGACTCAACTACAAAAATACCTTAGATAACTAACTTATATAGTGAAATGGTGATATAAAGATACAGAGCAGTCGTCCTTTTCTTCATTAAGCCATAGATGTTATATAATTAATTTCTCCAGAAGATTGTTTTGCAGTTGCCATATTTCTAGTTTGTATTCAAATTACTGAACTTCTTTGTGTTTATTCATTATCCACATTCATTCTTTCAGATGCGTAACTGAGTACATTTTTCTCCTTCTACCTGAAAGTTTCCTATGAAATGTTTTAGAAGCTAAAAAGATATAGAGTACTGTTATATAGCAAAGTTAGTGGAAATTATCAAGAAATAGCATTACTGTCACAAACTAGCAAGATTTAAAATGACTGAAGCAACACGTCAACAGAGAACTGCTAGATATGCAGGCTGGGTTTAGAAGAGTTTGTAGTACTAGGGATATTACAGCTAATGTTAGATGGGTCTTGATAGAAAGCAGAGAGTACCAGAGGAATGTCAATCTGTGCTTCATTGACTATGCAAAGGCTTTTGACTGTGTGGATCACAACAAACTGTGACTAACTCTGAAAAAAAATGGAATCCCAGAACATTTGATTGTGCTTATCCAAAACCTATACTTGTGCCAAGAGGCATTCGTCAGAACAGAGCAAGGAGACACTGCATGGTTCAAAATCGGGAAGGATGTCCTCAAGGGATATGTTCTGTCTCCATACCTTTTCAATCTGTATGCAGAACAGATCATCCATGACACTGGGCTGTATGAGGAGGAATGTGGCATCAGGATTGGAGGAAGACTTATCAACAACCTGCATTAGGCAGGTGACACACCCTGCTTGCTGAAACTGAGGAGGACCTGAAGTGCTTGCTGAAGAAGGTCAAGAACTGCAGCCTTCAATATGAATTGAAGCTCAACATCAAGAAAACAGAGATTCTCACTACCATGCCAACTGGCAGTATCATTATGGACAGTGACAAGATTGAGATTGTTACCAGTTTTAGTTTGCTTGGTTCCACAGTCAGCACTCTTGGTAACAGCAGCCAGGAAATCAGAAGACGAATTGCATTGGGAAAGTCAGCTGTGAGGGACCTCTCATGAGTACTGAAGATCAATGATGTCAGGCTGGAGACTAAGGTGTGTCTGATCTAGGCCGCAATCTTTGCACTTGTGTGCTATGTGTCAGGGAGCTGGACAGTGAATAGGGATGATAAAAACAGAATTGATGCCTTTGAGCTGTGGTGCTGGAGAAGAGTATCAAATGTACCATGGACTGCTAGGAGAACAAACAGGTTTGTCCTGGAGGGTGAAACTGGGCTTCTCCTTGGAGGCAAAGATTCTGAAGCTTCTTCTGACATATTTTGGTCATGTTGCAAGGAGGGACCAGTCCTTGGAGAGCTACATCATGTTTGGGAGGATGGATGAGATGGATCAATTCCGTGATTGGGGTAATGTCAGAGACAGTGAGGTTGGCACAGGATAGACTAGGGTTTAGGGCTGTTGTACATAGGATCACTATGAGTTGCAAGCCACTGGGCAGCACATAACAACAACA